CATAGCTGACTATATTGTTTGGTTAGATAGATGCTCACACTGATCATTAGAAATATTTAGAGTGTGATGCTATCATAGAGAGTTTTATTTCTAAGGGGTGAGGTCTTGGAAAGTAATGAAGTAATTGTAATCGCTCTTTAAAAAGATTGAGAATGGTTTATACAAATCTAAGCACATATAGATCAAGCAAATTACAGAAGCACCATGAGAGGTTTATACAAATAATTAAAAGCTTAAAATATGGTAAATTTGAATTCTTCAAGTTGTTTAAGGGTCCGTTTGGAGCAGCTTATTTGCTGCAGTGCGTTTTGAAAATGAAGGTGTAGGTTTTTGCTTTCAGCGACGTGATAGCTTATCGAAATCAAAGGTTCCACCCCTCGAACCGCGTTCAGAGAATAATGTTATGTGTGGCCGCCCTCATCTCGTGCCTCTTTCGACCGTTCTCACGTCTCCTCAGCCCTAGGTGCCTCTTTTGATTCCTCTCGCGGTTCTCTCCCTCTCACGTGTTTCTCTTGAGCGTTGCCTTACTCCTCCTCCTCCTCCCTCAGATCTCTGGTTGTGGTGCTATGTAAGTAATTCTTGTGGTGATTTTTGATGGAATGGTCTTTTTTGTGTGATTTTTGGGTTTCTCGTTTGGATTTTGTTGTGAGATGTTTGTGGTATTTGTGTGTGTAGTGGTTGTGCTGAAAAATAGAGTGTGCTTGATTTGTAGACATCAATGTTTCGGTGGATGTGGTATGTGGTGTGGAGCTTTATTTTGTGTCGGCATGCGGGTTGTGGTAGTGTTGAGTGATGAGGCGTGGTTATGTTGTGGTTATCTTGGGTTGTGGTTGTGTTGTGTGTTGAGGGTGAGGTGGTTGTGGTATGTGGTGTAGTGTTTTCTCTTGTCGTGGCATGTGGGCTATAGTGACCTTGGAATGTGGTTGTGTTGAGTGTTGAAGGTGAGGTGGTTATGGCATGTAGTATGGTGCCTTCTCTTGTGGTGGCCTGTGGGTTGTGGTGGCCTTAGGCTATGGTTGTATTGAGTTTTGAGGTTGTGGTTGTGTTGTGGTTGCTTTGGGCAGTGGTTGTATTATGTGTTAAGGGCGAGATGGTTTTGGTGTGTGGTGTGGTGCCTTTTCTTGTAGTGGCTAGTGGGTTGTGGTGGCCTTGGGTTGTTCTGTGTTGAGTGTTGAGGGTGTGGTTTCCTTGGGTTGTTGTTGTATTGTGTGCTGAGAGTGAGTTGGTTGTGCTATGTAGTGTGGTGTCTTCTTTTGTAGTGGTATGTGGGCTGTGGTAGCCTTGGATTATGATTTTGTTGTGTGCAGAGGATGAGGTGAGTGTGGTATGTGATGTGGTGCCTTACTTTTGTGGTGGCCTGTAGGTTGTGATAGCCTTAGTCTATTGTTGCGTTGGGTGCTGAGGATGTGGTTGTGTTGTGGTTGCCTTGTACTTTGGTTATGTTGTGTGTTGTGGGTGAGGTAACTATGGTATGTGATGTGGTACCTTTTCTTATGGTGACCTGTGGGTTGTGGTGTCATTGGGTTATGGTTGTGTTGGATGTTGAGGGTGTGGTTGTGTTGTGGTTGCCTTGGGCTATGGTTGTGTTGTGTGCTGAGGGCAAAGTGGTTGTGGTATGTGGTGTGGTGATTTCTCTTGTGGTGGTCCGTGGGTTGTGGTGGCCTTGGGCTATGGTTGTTTGAGAGCTGAGGGTGTGATTGTGTAGTGGTTGCCTTGGGTTGTGATTGTGTTGTGTGCTGAGGGTGAGACGGTTGTAGTATGTAGTGTATTTTTGATATTTTAGATATGAGAAGTTTTATGTTGTTTGTAATTATTTTTTCTCCTTCTTTAATTCTTTTCGTACCTTTTTTTGGGTTTATGTCGTCCATGATGAAATGTTCGACCTTGTGGGTTCTCATGGATGACATGTTAGTCATTGTTGATTGGCGTAACATGTGAAATCCTGATAAAGGAAACCAAGTTTCTCTTTTCTTTTCGATGCTGGGGTTTTTAAGGTACTTCTGGATGATCTGCTAGTTGTTGTTGGTTGGTATCACAGGTAAAATCTTGATAAAAGCAACCAAGTTCCTCTTTTCTTTTTGATGGTAGGGCTCTTAAGGTACTTCTAAATGACCTTGTTTTGGAGTGGTATGCTTGGTATCAAGTGAGCTAAAGGCAAGTAAGAATCATTTTTTCTTACAAGGTCTGATGTCTTCTTGTAGTGACAGATTCGTTGGTTGATATACTAAGTTATCTAAGACCTCACACCCATAAAAAATTGTAATTAATTACTCCTTTTAATAATTTCAACTTATGTTATGACTAATGAATTATCTTTTAAATAATTTAGGAAATATGAGCTCCAAGATTTCAGATACCCTTGACGAGTGCCCTACAACTGCGGACTTCAGACTTCCTGATTGACGTCACGTCGAGCACATAGATGCGAGAGACAATTCTATAGGTGTCCGCGGGGCATCACAGAGAAGTGTGACTTCTTTCCGTGGGCAGATAATTCAATAGATTCCACTGTCGATAGTGATTTAGGTTGACTGGTACCCTTGGAGAATAGTGTAGCTCGTGACATACGCCATCTGCAATTTAAAATTAATATTAACATATTTTTAATCATAATTTTAATATTTTTTAGCAATATTGTTACTCACTGTTAAGTGAAGTGTGTATCTTATTTTTTATATTGTTATGAATTGATTTTCTTGCTTCTCAAGTATCAAATATGTTGCTATGATTATTATGTTGCAAACAATATTACTGCACAGAGGTAAAATGATCGTTTATCTAGAAACAGTTACAAATCAGTTGTTTTCCAACAATACAAACTAAACAACCAACTGACTTATCCAGATCAGTTTTGATTCGAACGATCATGTTGATTGATCATATATATTAGTTTGATTATACCGAAGGGATTGGTCAATTGATCAAAGGAAGCCGATCCATTTTGGTGAGAGGATCATCAGCCGATTGTTTGGTCAGCCAGGTTTGTTGATTAATTCGCGTGTAGTTGGTCGTCTATCGGTATGTAGACATCCAGCTCTTTAATTTGAAAGATCGATCGCCTAGGTTTCCATTCCTAGCTGCTCAATCCCTTTGAGATTTGTGTGAAATTTTTGCTATATTCAATATATATATATATATATTTTTGTACTATGGTAAGCCAAAAGTCCCCTTATACGAAGATGAGTGCCAGGATTTACCAAAAACCACAAGAATCTGTCAAATAAAAACCATTAATTTTTTATCAACTCTGATCCGTAAGGTTTACTTGGGCTGGTAGTCAATCTTAGAATTTGTAAATTAATGAAAAAAGTCAGTCCCATATATAGGCAATCTAGTTTATAGGATTTTTAGAAAACTTTATGCAAATTAGCTCAGTTCAAGCTGACTAAGGACCTATTACAAGCCCTGGGAGTGAAGAATAGAGTATGTGAGATCTATATATTAAGAATCTAAGTCTAGGACAAGGTCAATCCCAAAACAAAAGGGTAGTCAACAAGAGAAAGAAACATTGTAATTGAGTACATATAATCATTTCTGACATATAAACCCCTTCTCTTTCTCCAACAATGATGTTTTCATAGCTGCTTCCTCTTGTGTGTCTCCCCAGTATACATAGTCACAAGGGTACAAGCAAGAGTTATGGGGGACCAATTATAATTACTGGAATAAAAAACTCAACAAACAATTTCTAAAATAACTTATAAAAATTTTCAAATTCAAACTTGAGTTATTTTATTCAAAACCTAAATGAAAATTTGCATTTGATCATATTGATTTTATATTGATTTTATCAGCCAAATCAATGCTTATGCTAGCAAAAAACCCAATCTTCCTCAAACACAATTATTTATGAAGAAACAAATGTTACTTTCATCTTATTTCAATAGAATATGTTCACTATAATCTCTTTGCAGCAAACCAAATGTTCATACAGCTGTCTGCATCCCATGAGCTCGAACTGGTGCTTCACCTTGCTGGCTCTTCTTCTTCTTCAAAAACACCGATACGATTAAAGGCAGAAGTGGCTTCTTCTTCTTCTTCTTCTGTTTCTTTCTCATCTGTAATGTTTCCCTTCCATTCGAGAATTTTCTATCCAAAACTTGCTCCTCGGTGCTCATGACTCTTGCCAGAGATGGTGGGTTGGCGAATTTGACATACTTCTTTCTTTGAGTTCCAATATCTTCCTTGACTACTGGTCCTTCGATCTCAATTTCTGTTGTATTTTCTACAAATTTGATGTCTTCAATCTCTGGATCTATGCTTGGCTTCTCCAAATCTCTAGCTTTCAGTTGTTTGAGCTCTGTCTTTGTTTCCTCTAGCTCTTGTATCAGAGAGGTGAGGTAGTTTGCCATTTCTAATCTTTCTTCTTCTGCTTTCTCAAGGTTTTGTTTTGTTTCTTCTAGTTCTGCTGCAAGGGAGGCAAAGCGAGAGCCGCTCTGCTCATTCCTGTTTCCTGTCACCCTCATCTGATTTTACAGAAAAGCAGGAGAGAAGAAAATCTGGTGAAATATTTAAATCAATTTGATTTATTCTTTTTTTTTTTGTTTTTTTTTTTACAGATTTTGTTCTCTATTTCTTGTTTGTGGCTAGCTGAACCTTATTGTGTTAGAACAATTTAAGCAAACAGGCATAGATTCTAAATTTGCTTAAAAAAAAACAGTATTTTATTGCTTCTGTTTTTGGGTTGAAAACTCTGCAAGTGATAACCTTTCCCAAGTTTTATGCTTGCATGTAATTCCTACTCTTCCATAATGCTTCAGTAAACTACAATCAAGCTAACATGTACAAAAATATCCGTAGCAAAATTGGAAAAATATAGATTTATACAAAATTACTCTGAAAATTAATATTTATATAATACTATATTGATAAACATACAAAATTTATTTAATTAGGTAACTGATGAAGAAAATATTACATCCAGACGACGGATGTGTGGATGACAAAAAATTATTAGGTGCAAGGAGCGGATTTTGATGTTGTATTGGTTATATTTAAACAACCAATACAACCCAAGTACAATGGAATTCACATCTAATAATTTCTACTAGATGACGGCATGAATCACACCACACTGTTGAACATGACATGATGCAATCCACGCCGGCATCAACATATCCGATTAACTAGACATAAGATTTTAAGTTGTGCTAAAAAGCTTTTGAAAATAACAGAGAAAGAAGAGTCTGGAGCCTACCTCGTTGAGCTTATTAGCAATCTCCCCAGCCAAGACCTTCTCCCCAAACAACAAAACGGCTTCCTTCACGGACCGAAAAGGAGCGCTTGTATCGATCTCGGCTCTCGCCATGAGAGCATCATCGTCGTCTTCAACCTCCCTCTCCATCTCCATTACATTCATCAATGCATGTAAATCGTTCAATGGGTGCTGGATTAATAAGGGGGGGAAGAGGGAAGGGGTGATGGTGAAGTGGGAAGTTTGTTAAGTCTCTTGAGGATTTTGTTTAGGAAGATAATGAGCTCATAGTGCTTCGTTTCTTGGCTTTCACTTCACTAGTATTCCGTTCAAGATGGGAAGGGAGGGAAGCCAACGGTTCTGATTGCAAGGTTTAATGGATGACTCATATTAGGGGATGTGCAAAAAAATAAAAAAATAGAAAGCATAGGGAGATTTACATACATACCGCTCAATTCTTATGTATTTACATATCAAAACACCTAAATTTTTATTTTCACACATGATGTCATGCATTTTTTTAAAGTGAAAGTGGTTGAATTTTCTTATAGGATATGAAATATTTTGGTGGTATAAATGTAAAAAACATTTAAGTGTAAGAAAGGAAAAAAAAAGTATTGTGTCGATCACTTCAAAAAAAAGTGTTAACAATTATGGAGATGTAAAATTGTGGTTTGTCTCTTGGGAGATATGAAATGTCTTATTATGGCTTTGGGTAAGAGAATAGTGCTACATTGTTTTGTGGGGATTTGTTGTTTGATATTGAAGCAAATAAGATTGTTCCCTAATTTGCTATCAGAAAGATTAATAACTCTTAATTATGGTGTTTAGACAGAGTTTATGTAATAAAAATTGTTTCAAAGCCATAGAACTGTTTTGAGATTGTTGTAATTAGTGATGGAACTAAGTAGGCGTGTAAACGAGCTCGTGTTCAGATCGTTTGCTTAACGAGCCGAACACGAGCTGTTTACGAACAAAGAGTCCGTTTAACAACCATAATCATGTGGCCATAAGACAATAAGGGTTTGAACAAGGTTTAAAAATTATTATTTATATTAAAACATCATTTGAATCTAGTTTAATAATTTTTATTCTATTTTTTTAATCAATATTTTAATTGATTATAAATCTTTGTAGCCTTGTAGTCAACTAGATTTTTTTAAAATACTACTTATATATATAAAAACTTGATGAGAAGTATTTCGAGCCAAAACGAGCCGAACAAGAACGAACACATCTTAGTTCGTGTTCGGCTC